CCTCTGCTTATTCCATAGACACCTCTAATTTCACATGCCTTCTCCCCCAGTATTCTCTCTCAGTGAATGGTGACAGCTATTGCTTTACCCTGAGGAGTGAGATTCGTATTTGAATTCCTGTTGATTCTGTTTTCAAAACAGATAAAAAATACTTTTACTTCTCCATGTTTTTACTGTCATTGTCAAAATTTCTGTCACCTCTGATTTTTGCCTAGAATTCTACAATGTTCTCTTATCAGGATGTGTCTTCTCCAATCCATTCTACCTGATACAACCCCAGTGAGCTCTCTTAAGTATAACAATGGCTCCTGAGTGCTCTTAGAATACATTCAAAACTCCATACCATGATTTTTGGAGCTTTTGATGACACTGCCTCTTTGTGTCTAATGCTTTGACTTTTCCTCCTTCCTTCCAAATATATCCTCTTTGAGGATACTTATTTTTCTTTAAATTTCCAATCCATATGCTTTTTTACCCTCTACATTTGTATTCCTTATCTGGAATAATTTTTCTTTTTAAAGATAGTGCTTCAATAATCTCAATTTTTAATTTGTGTCCTATCATAAGCATCATTTCTGATAAGAAGCCTTCTCCGTGCCACATCACATCAACTTACGCCCCTAGAATTGCCCTTACCATAATATATATACTTGGCTATACATTTGCTATGTCCTTCTTCATAGTGGTCAGATCCCTAAGGACTTGTCTACATATGTTCTTTTTTTTAAAAGATTTATTTTATTTATTTGAAAGATAAAGTTACAGAGAGAGGCAGAGACAGAGACAGAGAGAGAGCTTTTCCATCTGCTGGGTCACTCCTGAAATGGCCACAACAGCCAAAGCTGAGCTGATCCGAAGCAAGGAGCCAGGAGCCTGTTCTGGGTCTCCCACATAGGTGTAAGGACTCAAGCACTTGGTCTTCACTGCTGTCCCAGGCCATAGCAGAGAGCAGGATTGGAAGTGGAGCAGCTGGCACTCAAACTGGCACCCAAATGGGATGCCGATGCTCTAGGGCAGGACTTTAACCTGTTGTGCAAGTGCCAGCCCCAGGGCTTGTCTACATATATTCTTAGCATAAACTACAATGTTTGACACCTAGTAAGATCTTGATAAATATTTGATGAATAAATGGGTGAAAGTGTTTGTCTATCAAATGGAAACCCTCGATTTTAAGACTCAAGATTTTTTTTTTAATTCTAAGGTAGTGCTCTAAGCAGCTGCACTTTGCTGCTTACATTTCTAAAACATTAATGGAGTTTATAATATAAGGTGATAACAACTTAAAAAAAAGGCAGAGAGGAGCCAAGTGTATTTAGGAGAAACTCATACAAAGCATAGTTTTAATAGAAAAAGCTGAAAAATCTATTGGTGGTAAATTTAAAATTTATTATCATAGGAAACTTTTAAAAGATTTATTTATTTATTTGAAAATTAGAGTTACAGAGAGGAAAAGGCAGAGGCAGAGAGAGAGAGAGAGAGAGACAGAAATCTTCCATCTGCTGGGTTGCTCCCCAAGTGGCCACAATGGCTAGGGTTGGGCCAGGCAGAAGCCAGGAGCTAAAAGTTTCAGTAGTTTCTCTCACATGGATGCAGAGGCCCAAGTTGGGCCATCTTTCACTAATTTCCCAGGCACATTAACGGGGAGCTAGATCAGAAGTGGGGCAGCCAGGACTCAAAATGGCACCAATATGGGATGCTGGCACTGTAGGTGGCAGCTTTACCCACTGTTGTAGGAAATTTAACGCCATAGTATTTGCTCTTCTGTGAGCTATACCAGTAGATGTCATCTTTAACTGTGTCACTCAATTTCAAAATAAAATATCAGCAGGAAGATTGAAGTCAAAATAAAATGTTTTAATGAAAATTCATAGTTATACAGACTCATGTTACAAGGGGATTTCCCCCCTCCTTTCTCTTTAAAAATATAACACTTTTGTTTGACATTAAGATACTAGTCTAGAACTATGCAAAAGTAATTCTTTGTATTTGTTTGTCCAACAGCAAGGCAGCAGGAGTCCTGTATGTGGTAGAAACAGACTTGCAGAGTGCTTTCCATCCTTCAAGCCAGGACTGTAATTCAGTGCCTCTCTTTTTTCTCTTTACATTTTTTCAAATAAGGTTTATTTTTAAGGCTTTTCACCTTGTAGAATGATCTGAGCATTGTTTAGTCAATGTTGTTATTTGACAGTATGTGCATTATTGCTTGAAATTGCTTACTTATCATAAGTGTAGTGCAGTGTTGCAGAGGCCCACTCTGCCCTCAGGGTTCTGTAACAGCCTAGTTCAGCCCACCAGTGAACTATTAACTGCTTACCAAGGAAAAAATAGTCCATCATCAGCATGTATATATTCATTCATTACATGTCATAGGGGTAACACTACAAATACTGGGTTGGTTTCTGTTTTTTTTTTTTTTCTTTCATTCTTTTCATTTTAAAATGGTAGGTGAAAAATTCTCCCTTTCTCTCTTTGACCAATACCTAGATCTAGTTTGTATCCAATTCTCCAACCTGGCAATGTATTTTTTATCAAGGAAAGGAGATGCACAGTGGAAAACACTACCAGAGCCTAGTCCAGGAGACATGGTACTGAAGTTTAAAATAGTCTGTGAGGCATGAAACTAAAATAACTCATCTTAAAACAGAAGCACTACATTAGACAGTGGATGAGCCAGGTGGATTAAACCTTGTTTCTTATTGGTTGCTATGGCATTTGAATGGCTGAGCTCTGCTTCTCTGGTCTGTGCTTTGATCCAGATCTGGAGTTTTGCCATCTTGAAGGCTCTGCTTGCCCAGTTAACTATTGGCAAGAACTAACTGGAAGATTGGCTTATGGTACCTATTCAGTCAAAAAACAAAATGAAATACAATTTCAAAACTCTCAATAGTGTATACATTTATATTTCACAAATAAAGATTTTTGAATATGTTAAAATCTCTAAGTCTTTAATGGAAAATTTAAGTAATTCAATGGTTAGGTCAATGTCCTTTCTATAAGTACCTTTCAGGCGTTCATGCAAGGAGGAATCACACAGTTACTAAAAATCCAGATTTCTTGTCTGCTCATCCCTCTGTTCTGTCTTTGAAATTCTGATTCTCTGGTAGGGCCCAGAAACCTGCATTTTAACAGCATGCTAGGCAGTCTATGAGCCACCTTTTGAAAAAGAAAAAAGTTCTCTAAATGAATTGTTCTGATCTAATCCTATAAAATCATGCCTTCTTCTACTCAAAGTCTGCATTGTTCAGACTGTGTTGTTAGTAGAAGCACATTATGGGGTTTTGTGACCCTGAGCAAATTCCTTCCTCCTCAGACCTGGGTTTCCTCATTGTAAACAGCAAGGATCAGCAGCTTGTCCAGCAGAACTGACAAACGAGCTCCTTGCACAGGAGGAAAGGATATTTTCCTTTCCTTTCACGTCCATCCATTCCTCCAGATTTGCTGTGTTGTACAAATCCTGTACCTTCTACTAATATGATTCTTCAGTCTCTGCTCATCTAGATTTTACCTGTTGTTTGAACTTGTTATTCAAAATCAGGTGTAAATGCTACTAAAAATCCTGCCTGTCCCCAAAAGAAAATAGTCTTTTATTACGCAAACTGACATACCTTTAAAATACCGTGTTTTGTGGCACTTACTATGTTCTGTGTAATATACTTATATCTGCACTTCTACCTCTGCTTAGTGGGTTTTCAGATTGTTTCCCTTTTGTGTCCACATAAGTAAAATACATTTGTTTTTTTTTTCTTTTTTTTTGACAGGCAGAGTGGTGGACAGTGAGAGAGAGAGAGAGACAGAGAGAAAGGTCCTCCTTTTTCCGTTGGTTCACCCTCCAATGGCTGCAGCGGCTGGCGCGCTGCGGCCGGCGCACCGCACCTATCCAAAGGCAGGAGCCAGGTGCTTCTCCTGGTCTCCCATGGGGTGCAGGGCCCAAGTACTTGGGCCATCCTCCACTGCACTCCCTGGCCACAGCAGAGAGCTGGCCTGGAAGAGGGGCAACCGGGACAGAATCTGGCACCCCAACCGGGACTAGAACCCGGTGTGCCAGCGCCGCAAGGTGGAGGATTAGCCTAGTGAGCCACGGCGCCGGCACATTTGGTTTTAAAGTACTCATTGGTGGGGTAGGGGCTGTGGTGCAGCAGGTTAAGCCATTGCTTGGGACACCTGCATCCCATAGCAGAGTTCCAGTTCCTCTGCTTTCAATCCAGCTTCCTGACGATACACTTAGGACAGTGCCTGGCTTTGAGCTGGCCAGTATAGGCTATTGTGGGCACTGTGTGAAAGAGTGAACCAGCAAATGAAGATCTTCTCTCCCCCTCTCCCCCTCCACCCCCTCCCCCTCTCTCCCTCTCCCCCTCTCTCTCTCCTCCCTCCCTCCCTCCTTCCCTCCCTCCCTCTCTTCCCCTCTCTCACCCCTACAACCCACCTTGTCCCCATCCCCTGACCTCTCTGTCTCTCTGCCTTTCAAATAAATAAATCTTACAAAAATTTTAAAAAGTGCTCATTTTTAAAGGGTATAGGAAAGAACAGCATTTATTAGACAATTATAAAAACTCTGACATTCTCATTAAGTACTCAATCAGTATACAATTACTAAACATTTAGCATTGACCTTGCAATCTGCTAAGTCCTATATTTGCTTGGTACTATGAAGACAAAGCAACTAAATAATTGACTTTTTGTTGGAATCTTCATTAGGTTATATAGATATCCCTTTATTGTGGCTAATCAATTGGCAAATTAGATGTTAAACATCTGTCACATGAATCAATGAACCAAAAAAGACCCAAAACCATACATACATTTCATCTGAGTATACATGCCAGCAGTCTATGTGGAATAAAGATATGTTACATTATCTTTTTAACACTATGAACTGTTCTTTCTTATTGAATACATGTGCAAATAAATGGGCACAAGCATTTGGGTAGTTTTAAAAATCAAAAGATAGAACAAATTATAAAATTTAAATGATGTGCTTCTATTCTGTTCTTACATTTCAGATGATGGAAAATTATCCTTTGAAGAATTCAAAGCCTATTTTGCGGATGGCGTTCTCAGTGGAGAAGAATTACATGAGCTCTTCCATACCATCGATACCCATAATACTAAGTAAGGATTTTTTTAACACTAGATTCTGTAATTGAGGTAGAGAGAGCGTGAATGAGCACATGCCCATGAAGACGAAAGAAGAAAGATGTAGTGTGCACATTTTGTAATGCTTACCTAAGTTTAATTCTGAGATAACCCCTCTTTAATAATTGAAATGCTCTGAAAAACAGAATAATCTTCAGGGAGATTTCCTAAAGTAGTTTTAGATCATTTCCTTTTTGAGGAATGTAAAACAAAAGGAGAGAATATAAATAATTCTCTCATTAATAAGCAAGTGGAATTTTGCTTTGTTACTTAGGTGTCATATTAATTTGCTTTGTTTAAAACTTGTTCTTAGATGATACTTTTCAGAGTGAAATAGGGGTATTCTAGCTGTTATCTGGACAATTCAGGTGCTCAATTCCAAATCATTGTAAGCTAAGAAATGCAAGTAATTCAGGACACAGAATTACCCCTGAGTAGTCAAAGCATACAATGATCTTCCCATATTTTCCCCTAATACATCTCTCTTTTACATTAATGTAACACTTATGACTGTTCTACATTAATGTAACATATAAGAGTGTTCTATTTATATACTCATTGTGCTTAAAAATATACAAAAATGAGGAGTTCCAAGATATTGAACAACTGAATTATGCTGCTTGTTTTGAGTAAATGAACCAAAACACATTATTTTTATGTGAAAAAAAAAAAAACATTCCAGTCATGCCTTGAGACCCATAAGTGTGACTACTGCTTGAACAATCATTATCTTGCTTTTGGCAAAGTGTGGTGCTAGTTCCAGGCAGTGAGACAGCATGCCAAGAAAATGCTCTTGGGCTACATCTATGAATACACTTGTTCTTCAGGCAAGCTATTAAGAAAAAATTAAAAGATTAAATTCACTTTCCTCAAGCTGCTGAATATTTTTAAAACAGCCAATTTGAGATCTGCTTCTTGCATTTCTTCTATCTCATCATCTTCATAATCTTGAATTGGGGTGTCTTTTTCATTTGGGGGCATCATAGTATCTTCCTTCTTCTTGTTACCTCGGTTTCTGCGTTTGTTTGACATTGTGGAGATATTCTTTGGTTTCTTCACTGTGGTGCTTTTTCTCGTTATACTATGACTCTAGATTAAGTGGACTGTCTGCTTTTGACGGATCCTTAGAGGCTGTGATGGGTGTGGCCAGAGAGCTCTGTTTGGTTCTTCAGGGTTAAGGATGTGCCAAAGGTGACACACCCAGATTGTTCTCTCGCTCACTTTCTCTCTCTCTCTCTCTCTCTTTGACTCAGTTGGGAAGTAATTCCACACAGCTGAGTGGAATTGAGGGTAGTTGATGTATGAAATCTGGCCCCTGTGGGTATTCGTCTGCTCTACCCCTGGGACCACACAAAGAGTTTATGCAGCCCTCAGTGTGAAGAAGTTCTCAAAAACAAATTCTTGAACTACAGAAATCCTTAATGGACAAGATAGAAAATCTCTCTCCTGAAAATGAAATATTAAGGAGGAATCAAAATGAAATGAAACAACTAGTAGAACATGAAACTGTGATAGTGACGAGAAATCATAATGAAATGAAGAATTCAATAGATCAAATGACAAACACATTAGAGAGCCTTAAAAACAGAATGGGAGGAGCAGAAGAGAGAATATCAGACTTAGAACACAGAGAACAGGAAAGTATACAGTCAAACCAAAGAAAAGAAGAGGAAATTAGAAATCTAAAAAATATTGTCTGGAATCTACAGGATACTATTAAAAAACCCAACATTCGGGCTCTAGGACTTCCTGAAGGCATGGAGAGGGAGAAAGGATTAGAAGGCCTTTTTAGTGAGATACTAGCAGAAAATTTCCCAGGTTTGGAGAAGGACAGAGACATCCTAGTACAGGAAGCTCATAGAACCCCTTGTTGTTGTTGCTCTGTTTGTTCTACATAAGACCACTGGTTGAACTCTGTAATCAATGCACAATCATTCTTAGGCGTTTAAAATTAACAGAAAGTGATCTCTGTTAAACATAGGAGTGGGAATAAGAGAGGCAGGAGATATATAGGTTGGCACATGCTCACTCGGACTTACCTCCAATGACAGAACTAAAAATGTGCCAGGGGATTTCAACTCAATCTTACCAAGGAGGCAGGTACCAATGCCAGCGCACTTGGTAAAGTGATAAGTATAAATACACAACCAATCAAAAAGATAGGGTATGTGTCGATGAGATTTCACAAATAAAACCAGTGTAAGCAACTAATGAAGGATAGAATTAAAAGGGAGAGAATGATCCTGCGGGGGAAACAGGACACACAGCAGACTCATAGAATGGCAGCACTCCTGCCTCAGAATCAACCCTTGGGACATTCAGATCTGGCTAAAAGGTCCATGAGAGTCTCACAGGCATGGAAAGCCATGACATGGTGGCAAAAAACAATCTAAATGAAAGATCCTGGTGAACAAGACCCCAGCAGATGGAACAGGCCATCAAGGAGAGAGGCGCCTTTCTCTGAAGGGAGGAAGGAACCTCCACTGTGATAAGGCCTTGACTAAACAAGTTCAGAGTTGGTGAACTCAAGGGGCTTCCATAGCCTTGACAGCTCATGGCAAGAGCCTCGGGTGATAACTGACGTCATAAATAAGAGTGCCAATTGTTAAATCAACAACGGGAGCCACAGGGTACATGCTCCCCACGTAGGATCTCTGTCCTCAATGTGTTTTACTATGAAACTTAAAAACAACACTACTAGTCGAACAATACCCTATACCTTGTGCGGTTGTGTGAGTGCAGCCTGTTGAAATCCTTGCTTAGTATATACTAAGTTGATCTTCAGTATATGAAGGTAATTGAAAATGAAACTCGATGAAGGGCAGGATGGGAGAGGGAGTGGGAGAGAGGAGGGCCAAGGGAGGGAGGGAGGTTGGGGAGGGGAGAGCCACAGCAATACAAAAGATGCACTTTGTAAATTCACATTTATTAAATAATAAAATAACTATATAACAAACAAAAAAACTTAATACTTTACCCTTTTAGTATTTTTTATGTTCTACTTAAAACTATTGGTTGAACTCTGTGATTAATACACAATTACTTGTGGGGAGCAACTCGGACTAGACTAAGTTACTGGAATTAAGACTTATTCTATGCATCTGCTCTCCCACAATATGGCACTGGGAGAGGAGTAAAAACAACTTTTATACAGCTGCCTCCAGTTCAACCAGTAACCTGCAGGAGCTGATCCCGCTCCTGATTGGAGGAGAGCAGTGTACTCGGCGTGTGGGTAGCAGAGTTGGGATTGGTGGAAGAGGACTATAAAGGAGGAGAGAGACAACATGCACCAGGAACATCTAAGGGGAACATCCGAATAACATCTGAGCAGCCACCGAGAGAGCCGGCCGGCGGTGTGCCGCTCCCCCACGGAAGTGGGGAAAGTGGCAGGGGGCACCGCCCTTCCACGGAGGTGGAAGGGTGGGCAGCCAACCCGGGAAGAACCAGCAGCAAACCCGGGAAGGGCCGAGCAGACAAAAGAACAGCGCAGGGTCCTGTGTCGTTCCTCCGTGAAGAGGGGGAGCGACATTACTCTTAGGTGTTTAATTAATGCTATAACTAGTACTCAAATAGTATTTTACACTTTGTGTTTCTGTGTGGGTGCAAACTGTTGAAATCTTTACTTAATATATGCTAAATTGATCTTCTGTATATAAACATAATTGAAAATGAATCTTGATGTGAATGGAAGGGGAGAGAGAGTGGGAGAAGGGAGTGTTGTGGGTGGGAGGGAAGTTATGGGGAAGGAAAGCTATTGTAATCCATAAGCTGTACTTTGGAAATTTATGTTCATTAAATAAAATAAAATAAAAATAAAAAAGAAGAAAAAAAAATGACCAAAAGAGATCCTTACCACGACACAGTGTAATCAAACTCACCACAGTGAAACATAAAGAAAAGATCCTAAAATGTGCAAGAGAGAAACGTCAGATTACTCTCAGAGGATCTCCAATTAGACTCACAGCTGACTTCTCATCAGAAACCTTACAGGCTAGGAGGGAATGGCGAGATATAGCCCAGGTACTAAGAGAGAAAAACTGCCAGCCCAGAATATTATATCCTGCAAAGCTCTCATTTGTGAATGAAGGTGAAATAAAGACCTTTCACAGCAAACAGAAATTGAAAGAATTTGTCGCCACTCGTCCAGCCCTGCAAAAGATGCTTAAAGATGTGTTACACACAAAAACACAGAAACACGGTCATCAATATGAAAGAAGGTAAAGGAAGGAAACCTCACAGCAAAAGATCACAGGAAGTTCAAAACATATATTAGAAAATATCTTTGGCAAGTGGCAGGGCAAAGTTACTACTTATCAATAGTCACATTTAACGTTAATGGCCTGAACTGTCCAGTTAAAAGACACAGATTGGCTGATTGGGTTATGGAAGAAAACCCACCTATTTGCTGCTTACAAGAAACACATCTTTCCAACAAAGATGCATACAGACTGAAAGTGAAAGGCTGGAAAAAGATATACCATGCCAACAGAAATGAAAAAAGAACAGGCATAGCCATCTTAATATCAGACAACATAAACTTTACCACAAAAACTGTTAAGAGAGACAAAGAGGGGCACTATATAATGATTAAGGGATCAATCAATTCAACAGGAAGATATAACGATTATCAAAGTATATGCACCTAATTACAGGGCACCGGTTTATTTGAAAGATCTGTTAAGTGACTTAAAGGGAGACTTAGACCCCAATACAGTAGTACTGGGGGACTTCAATACTCCACTCTCAGAAATAGATCAACAGGACAGAAGATCAACAAGGAGACAGTAGATTTAAATGACACTATAGGCCGGTGCCGTGGCTCACTAGGTTAATCCTCCACCTTGCGGCACTGGCACACCGGGTTCTAGTCCCGGTCAGGGTGCCATATTCTGTCCCAGTTGCCCCTCTTCCAGGCCAGCTCTCTGCTGTGGCCAGGGAGTGCAGTGGAGGATGGCCCAAGTGCTTGGGCCCTGCAC